GGGCTCTAGTACAAATTCATTTTAAACTTTAATTGTGTATTTCTACATAATAACTGGTAATATCAACACGATGGTGAGTGATCCTAACACCATGATCTATATACCTGAAGATCACCTATCTATGTTTTCAATAAGATGGAAATTATAATTGAAAATCAAGATCAGTTTTCAAGTTGAAATTATTATGAATTAGTTTTTATTGTATGTATCATGAGGAATCAAATCGAAGGACCTGTACCATGGATGATTACTTTGTTTACCAATTAGAAAAGAGTGTCATGCAAAAATACCATTAGATGTACCAGCTGTCAATAAAATCAACTGTAAAGAGGTAGAACAGCAGTAAACTCAACTTCAAACAAAGCCAAACCTAAGTTTTATTATATATAATATTTTATATAATCAGCTGAAAATGTATAGTGATTTATTAGACCTCTAAATATACTGGCTCTTATAATGGCTCCTCCAAAGCTCTTTTATCTGTATCATATCAGCCAGGACCAACTGCAGACCCTTCTGGATTCTAACAGAATGTATGGATTGGCTGGTCAGGCAACTCTAGCCACTGCCCTCCATCTGAAAACATCACAGTAGATTACCACAGCCACATATTGAGGGCTAAAGTCATTTCTGGAAATTGTTACAGATTCTCACAATCAAAATAATAACATTAAATATTCAATAATATTTAAAAGGAGGTGGTAGGTAATTTGTGCAGCTCCATGGAAATACAAAGTTAAAAACATTCTGCAATGCATACAGTGCCATAGTATAACCAAAGGAACAACATTTCCATGGAGCCAAGCAGAAGGCCTAAGCAAAATAAGGGTCAGGCCTGTGGACATGCAAGCGTGCTCAAAGACTGGACACGTTTTTCTGCGTTTTCCAGTACTGTAAATTCAGTCAAAATTTAAAAAAACAAAAACATGCTTTTACTTTAGTCTATTTTTGGCTAAGAGTAAGACTGGGCAAATAATCAATTATACAAATTTTAAGATCAAGTCTGTTTGGAAGAAAATCAATTGTATTTCCCCCCTATTTCACTTTGGAAATTGCATTGGAAAGGCTGGAAGTTCTCAAAAAAGCTCAAAGTTTTGGAAGGGAAGAGAAACGTAAAGTAAAAGGGCAGCATTAACTGCTTTCACAACATTTAACTTTGATGTCACTGATGTCAAAGTGCAAATCACATCTTTTGCTGCACATTAGCTACATGTTTAATGCCCTAATCAAACTAATCATAACACTGTTGTGATTAGTTTGTTTCATCTATTTATAAAATGGGGATAGATTTCCCCAATGGCCAAAAGGCTAAATATGATCACTTATTAATACAATGTTGTCACATTTTTTGAGAAAATCATCCAGCCCAAGCTAAAAGGTTACATACTATGTCTATATCAATAGTTAAGTGATGTTACTGGTAAATCCACTAATTAATTACTATTAATGTTATAGAAGAATGTCATAACAATTCTGACAATTTATGACTAGTAGAATGTTAAAAACTTCATTATAACATTTAGTGTGAATGACTACTGGTGCATAGTAATAGTTCTTATGTTCAATTTGTGCAATCAGTTTTGTCATCCTTAGTATCCAAAAGAGTGAAATGATCATGGCAATAATATACAGTAGCTGACAAAAGTCTTGTCACTTATCCATTTTGTAGAAACAAAAGCTTATAACCTGACTTTAAATTAATCGATTGGTTTTAGAAATGTCTCATATGAAAGCTAAAACCCTCCCAAATTATGCTCAATATACTAAAATAAATTTGCTTCACTGAAGAAAGATTGATCATTTAATGAACACAGAAAGGTCAGATTTTGGCAAGACAAAAGTTTTGTCGCCTACAGAAAATTGAACAAATAATTTACTTCAAATATAAAAATATGTTACATAACGTCAGTGAATTAAGTAGTGGTGCTGTGAGATCCATATTTAATATCTTGTATGACTTCCATGAGCTTGAAGGACTGCATCCATGCGGTTCGACGATTCATACAATTTGTTGATGAAGTCATCAGGAATAGCAAAGAAAGCGTCTTACATGCCTCCCAGAGTTCATCAAGATTCTTTGGTTTTGCCTTCCATGCTTCCGCTTTCATTCTACCCCAGACATGCTCAATGATGTTCATGTCTGGTGACTGGGCTGGCCAGTCCTGGAGCACCTTGATCTTCTTCGCCTTGAGAAACTTTGATGTAGAGATAGAAGTATGCGATGGAGCACCATCCTGCTGCAAAATTTGACCCTTTTATGGTTGGCAATGTAAAAGGTAGCTAATACTTCTTGATATTTTAGGCTATTGATATTGCCTTCCACCCTGCAAATGTCTCGCACACCCCCATACTGGATGGAACCCCAGACCATGATTTTTCCGCCCACCAAACTTAACTGTTTTCTGGGTGAATCTTGGATCCATGCGGGCTCCAGTAGGTCTCCTGCAATATTTGCGGCGGCTGTGATGTAATTAAACCGAGGATTCATCTGAGAAATCCACCTTCTGCCACTTTTTCAGTGTCCATCCTTTTAGCAGGCTGTGGGCCTTGGCAAATGCCACATGTTTTTTTAATTGCCTTTTGTTTAGTGCTGGTTTCTGTGCACTGATTCGACCATGGAGGCCATTTCGAGACAGAATTCTACAAACTGTTGTGGTTGACACAGGGACTTGAGGTGACCAGGCCTGGTGGAGCTCTGCTGCAGTGGAAAAGGGGCTGGCCTTGGATTTTCGAATCAACAAACGGTCCCGAGCAGTTGTCTTGCGGGGTCTGCCGGACCTGGGCTTGTCGAAAACATCTCCAGTCATTTCAGATCTTTTTCTTGTTCTTTGTACTTGACGCTGAGACACATTGAAGGTGTCAGCCACCTCAGCAGTGGATCTGGTCTTCAGCCTCTTGATAATTAACGCTCTGGTCTCAGGGTGGATCTTAGGCATGTTGTCAGAGGTCAAGTTGCAGTTGATGTGAAGGTCTGGTGTGCTGGAGTTCTTTTTATACACACCCACTAATTGATTGATCAGTCACTGATCACAGGTGAGGCTGTAATCTAGGATTGGGTGCATCATATGACAAGGCGACAAGACTTTTGTCTTGCCAAAATCTGACCTTTCTGTGTTCATTAAATGATCAATCTTTCTTCAGTGAAGCAAATTTATTTTAGTATATTGAGCATAATTTGGGAGGATTTTAGCTTTCATATGAGACATTTCTAAAACCAATCGATTAATTTAAAGTCAGGTTATAAGCTTTTGTTTCTACAAAATAGATAAGCGACAAGACTTTTGTCAGGGACTGTATAGCAGCCCATAATATTCCATATGGATGTAAACCTTTTCAATTAAATAATTTTTTATTACATTTCATCATTAAAAAAATAGAAACATAGCTGGAAGACCAGTCTGTGTACATAAAACTTACGATACCTTAATTAATCAGTAGTAAATCTTTTAATTTATAAATTGTAAATAAGCACTTTGATTCATTTGTTGGTTTACTCTCACTGTTATTAGAAGAGAAAGCAAAATTAAAATGTAAAAAATGAGAAATACAGACATTGTCCTACAGAAAAAAATAAACTGTAGCCAAATAAATGTATTTATGGCAAAATGATTTAGTATGTACTAATTTCTAGAGCCATCATTATAGCGCCATCGTTCAGTTGATTAATTGGTAGCATCTTAGTCTACCAAATTCTTTGTCGGTATACTTATAATTTTATTGAGACTATAAGGAACAGAATTAAGTGAGTTAGCTTGCGTTTTGTATTTTGGGGTATTGGTAAAAAGGCAGACAATATAAAGGCACAACAACACCACAGAAGTATAACGTCTACAATTTTCATGCAGCTGCAGCATCTTAAAAACCATACAGTCATGGAAGACCAGTCTGAAAAAGGTGCAGATGTTGGGGATCCTCAAAAAATGTGACTGTGCTTTGACTGCATTAATGGCACTTGGGTCCAGTTGAGGGTTCCTAGGATCATTAGAAACCTGTACTACATAATACTATTAGATTTGATTTGCGTACCTAACATTTTGTAGGTTTCTTAGGAAACCTACATTGGTACGGTGGTACTATACCACAGTAGCTGAAAAAAGCACCACAAGGTCACAATTGTGCCTGTACTTGATGACATTATTATTTAGTGTAATTATGTGATATGCTATCATAATGAGTTTTTTGACGCAATAAAACATCCAGACCGTGGTCATTACTATATCATATGGGACCCATTTCATATTATTTTCCCTCTGCCCACTTCCATTCAATTGATAGTATGATGCAACAAAAGCTGCTAACTACAGTCAAGTCTTTAATTCACAGCCATGTTCATAGTTTAGGTAATTTAAGCAAAAAGAAAAAATAAACCAGCCTAAATCAGTCAGATGTAAGTGAAGACACTACGGCAATAATATTTCAAGTCTTTGGACATGTTAAAGCCAAACCACTTTATTATA